CAGCAGCAGCAGCAGCTGCTGCTGCTGCTGTTGCTGCTGCTGCTGCAGCAACTGCAGCTTTAGGCGCAGCGTAGTCAGCCACAGCTAGAGCAGTTGTTTTCTTGCTTCTAGCATGGTCTTTTGGGTTGAATTTTGGCCGGCCGTCTTATCAGCCGAGCTTGCAGCAGCAGCAGCAGCGGCAGCAGCAGCAGCAGCAGCAGCAGCAGCCACGGAGTGTACGTACACTGCGCCTGGCTTCCCCAAGCAGCATGTCCGCTCCCTTTTTGCAATTTTGTTCTTCTTGCAGAATTTCGGGGCGCTGTAGTTATTTATTTTTGATTTCTTTTGCTGCTGCATCACCTTTTCAGATTTTTGTTGAAGATCTTTTTGAATCCTGTTGCTTATTTGTATTTTGTTGAATTTTAATGCAAGCAGAGAAACTGTAACTGACCTACCAGAAAAATATTTAAAATGGAACACTTTGTATTAACTTAGAATTAAATATTAATTTAGAAACATTGAACTTGAACACTTTGCACAGCATCCAACAGCAAGTTGTCTGCAGACAGCAAAATGCACAGTCGCCAAATATTTCAAATATTGGAAAGAGGTTTTCTTTAGAGTTTAGCAGCAAGACAAAGAAGCCAGCCATTCACACTGGGGCGCAGCAGCAGCAGCAGCAGCAGAGGTTTCCAGCGGCACTGCAGCGTCACGCGAGAGGCTGCTGCTCCTGCTGCTGTTGCTGCTGCTGCTGCTGCAGCTGCAGCAGCTGCTGCTGCTGCCACAGGGGAGGGTTCCGCGGATCAGCTGGAAAAGCGGCCAAAAGCCCGTAGCCGCAGCAGCAGCACAGCTTTCCGGCGGCACGGGTGCGCCGCGCTGGGCAAGATCGAACGCACTCAGCAGCAGCAGCAGCTGCTGCTGCTGCAGCAGCAGCAGCAGCCACAGGGTCCAGTCGGTACGTGTGTTCACGAGTGTTTTTCTGAAGAGTAGAAGCAAATGGATAAAGTCAAAACAAATAAACAATGAGACGCAAGAGAAGCGCCGCTGCCCGAGCTGGCGCCTCGGCTGTACAAACTTGAACACAAGTTTCACTTTTTGTGGAAAATATGAATTGGATTTTGTTTGTCAGATTTGCAAAAGGAAATTGAAAAGTAAAGCCCCACTACCTAGGCTGGTGAACAAGACTGCAGAGGGCGCGGGCCTTCACTCTCGGCATTTCTTTTTGTGTTTTTTGAGTTTTTTCTTTTCTTTTTTTCGTTTTTTTTTCTTTTTTTTGCGCTTGGAAGCTTCGCTTTCGCTGTCGGAAGCGACGGGCGTGAGGCTTCCCTCGCGCTTCGCAAGCTGGAGCCCGCTGAGGAACTCCACAGGATTCAGCCAGGGAGTCTTTTGCTTCAACTCTTCAGTGTAAAACCTATCTGGCAGCCACGCGTCGGACGCGTTTTCTTGCCGCTGCAGCTGCTGCTTCTCCTTTTCCCGCGCAGCGCGCTGCCGGGTCGCGGCGTGTACGTCCACCGAGCCGAACTGGCGTGCAACTTTTTCCTTCACCTTTTCCACCACTTCTTTGTCCACTCCTTCCACCACAATGGCGTCTAAAACCCTTTTGGCGCTGCTTGAGATCGCTGGGCCTTCTCGGGGCTCTTTCGCGCGGCCTTCCGACCGCAGCACCCCCCAGGTGTCTTCGTGTTTCTTCTCCAGTTCCTTTTCGCGTTTCTGCCACAGCCGCCGCTTCTCCAGGGCTTTGTTGAAGTCCGTTACCTGTTTCACGTGACGCGTAATTATATTTGCCACGGGAACTTCCTTGTTGCTGGCCAGATCCTTCACGCGGTCGTCGATTCGACAGTGCAGGATGCCGCTGCTGCTTTCCAGCGCCTCCGCCGACAGTTCCGCCATCTTTGCCCAGCAAGTGCTTTCTCTTCCTCTTTCTAAGTGCGGACTCCAAGCAGCAGAAGTTTTTTTTGAATTCCAAAAATAAAATGCTCTCGGGGGGTGTTGGAAGCCCGCTGAACTCCCCTCAAGAACTGCTGCGTTCCGCAGCCAGCAGGAACTTGCGAAGACAACGCACCGCGTCCTCCATCGCGAAGACTTTCTCTTCGCCTCCTGGGAGGAAACCTGCAAAATGCCAATTCACTGACACTCAACTTCAATGCAATCAACCAAATCTGGAGAACTCAGCAGCGCTTTGCAAACTCTTGCAGACTCGACGCCTCTGCATGGCCGCCACGCAGCCCACGCACTGGCCGCCCGGAGCGCTGGAAATAAAACAAACCCAACTTCGCCTCTAAACAGGATTTGTAGACTAGAAAATAGTTTTTAAATGGAAGAGAACTGGTTCTTCTGAACAAAACGCCTTCAAGCGTTAGCCTCAGCCCCAAACCTAGAGACTCTAATTGCTGGCAGTTCGCAGTGGCTGGCCCCGGCAAACAGCCGCGAAACTGAATCCTGAAAACTTGAACTTTGCAAATTTCGCAATTTCTCGCCAAGTCCCGCATGCGTTGCAGCACTCATTGCAGCTTGGGGGCCCGTGTTCCCTCCCATTCAAGCCGAACTGCATGCTGTTTCACCCATGAGAAGTGCAGCAAACTTCTCATATTTCTCTTTATATTTGCAAATTGTTCCTTTTTCCATACTTCAAACTATTCCTGCGCAGTGAAATTCCCAAAGCAGAGTCGCCCCCGGCGCTGGAGAGCCGCGATCGCCAGCTTTCGTTTTGACGCGGTGTAACTTCGAGTCTCGTGGGCGTCAGATATCTTTAGTGCGGCGAATTGGGTCTTTTCCCGCAATCGCATCTTCTTAATTTTAGTTTTTCCCCTTTTCTTCGCCAAGATCACTAGCTGAGAGCTATTTAGACTGGTTGTTCGCGGGGTGGCTGCTGCTGTGGCAGCTGCCTCCCTGCTGCTGCTGCACTTCAAGCTGCAAAAGGGTCTTTTGAAAAATGTTTCTGTCTTCTCCTTTACTTGGCTGGAGGCAGCGGGGCTGGCGCTGGGAAGCTCTGCAGCGCGGTCGCCGCCGCTGGGTGCACATAGAGTATCCCCCGCGCAAGAGGTCGCCTCTGAAAAAGGTGAATTTCGTTTCGAAACTCGAGGATTTTGATGCCACTTTCTCACACTTTTAATAAACGAAATAAATTGCACTTTTCGCTTTGTTACTTTCTTTATAGGCGAAATCAAATGGGCTTATCATCGGGCCCCCCACTGTGGACTTTCCCTCTACTGCACAGTGTCCATCTAGGCTAGCCTGCCTTTAAGCTGGTCTTGGAGCTAGTAAATGAAACAGCATGCAGCAAAGGGAGCTCGGAATTGTTTCTATTTTGCGTATTTTCATGACCTTTTTGTTATTTAAAAGTCCTAAAAGATCATTATTTAGTTCCTGTTTGGCGTGGCCTGCATCTGTGCTGCAGCTGCACGACAGCCACGACAAGCTTGTCTTTGTGTGCCAAGGGTACATAGACCGTCTTTCTGTGGACAAGCTGCCTCCCGCGCTGCAGCAGCGGCTGAAGGAGCTTCGGGCCAGCCCTGTGCCTCTCTACGACGGCCGGCTGCCCTGGTCTCAGGATGTGCAGAGTGAGCGAAGTGCCACTTTTGCTGGCAGTTGCTGAAGGCTAACTGGAAAGAAAGCGAAACCTGCAGCGATCCTGCTGCACAATGTGCTACGTGTCTCTGTCTCAATCGCAGGGGCCATCCAAAGAACTGTAGTTCCTTGCCTAGCTTTCGCTACGGGGCGCACTCATCAGTGAGTGACCCCCCATTTCTTCTTGCCAGGACCTGCAAGAACATCCCAGTGGACGTGGTGCGCACGGTGCACGTGTACACTATACGCAGTGTACGTACACTCGGCTGTGCCTGCAATTTCTCTTCAGTTTGCTTGAGGCTTTCACAATGGATGAAGTGCTGGCGCTCGAAAAGCTCATCCCGGAGATTCGGCAGGCATTCGCAGGTAGGGCAAGGCTAGCCCTGCACGGGATGCGGGGAAAGCAGGCTGTTTTTTGTTAATTAGCAGCAGCTGCAGCCAAAGTTGTTGGGTTTTGAGGCAGCAGTGGATTATTTCTTGTTGAGGGAGGCCAGGGTAGCTGCAGGCACTTGGGGTGCTGAGGCGTCTGCGCGTCTCAACTCAGAAATGCAAAAACGGTTGCCGGAGGACGAGTCTATTGCCGAAAAGACAAGACACAGGCCCCTAGATCTGACTTAAAGTGGAGAGAAGCTGCTGCGCTTCCGCTTAGAAGCAGAAGCGTAGGGAACCGAAATCTGGGCTGGCTAGTTTGCGTCTCGTGCGCAGCGCGGGCACATCCAACCCGGCCTAGAGGCGGAGTTGAATGTTTTTTATTTGTTCCTTTTTTTATTCGTCTCTGCAACCTAGCAAGAACAAGCCGTCGTTTGTGGGGCCACATACGTGGCAGCGGGGCGCCTCTGCAGACTTGAATTTGTGCAGCAGCACCCGGAAAACTGAGGAGGCAATTCCAGCTATGTCTAAAGTGGATCTGCTAGAATAGAGGCCCGTCTTTTGCCACACTAGCTTTGGGATTAAACTTCACACAAATAGAAAAGGCACCAGCGTGCGCCCCCCCACAGAAGGAGGCAGGCACCCGCGCCACTAATATGTGCGCGTCGTTCCCTGTGAGTGCGGGAAAAAGTGAGTAGAAGGAGCTTCCTAGGCTAAGGCTATAGCAGCGCAGGCGAGGTCCACTTAG